ACACACACACACACACACACACACACACACACACACACACACACCTACCTTTGTGTTGAGGACGGCGAGTGTTGTGGTGGTGAAGTCGCCCGCCTGTGCGGATGTGTGGGAGATGATGAGATCGCCGGCACGCGCGCGTTGACCGGGGCCGGGCCTGAAAAGAGCGGTTGAGGCGAGGGCGTGAATCGAGAGGAAAGGGGGGGGGGGAGGGTTGAGGAAGGGGCGTGCAGGGAACGAAAGGCAAAACGGGCGAAAGAAAGACTAAGGGATATGTGACCACACACACACACACACACACACACACACACACACACACACACACACACACACACACACACACACACACACATACAACCCAACATCTTGTACCTACTCACCAGTACTTTTCACACTTTGGAGTGCCGTTCTCAGCGAGACGCGTGATCATGACAATGACACGCACATCGCACTCCCACACCATGCGCCAAAAGTCAGACACGGTTTGTGGAATTGGGCCCTGGTGTCGGTGTAGCACGGGAGGGGGGGGGGAAGGGGCGTGATGACGGCAAGCGAGTAAGGGCGATGAGGATGATAGCATGGCCCACTAGTGCCATCACAGCCACCACTAGTGCCATCACAGCATCACGACCAACACCACTGCACCTGGGTGACGATGTATTCGCGGTCGTCGTTCATGCCGGGCATCCAGTTGGCGTTGATGTATCTGGATAGACGAGTGTATGTATGTGTTGATGGATGGGATGACAACACGTGTGAGATGAAACAGAATTCGGAAGCGCGTACAAACACATGCACGTACAAACACATGCACGTGCACAGGCAAGTACACAGGCAAGTACACACACACATGCACACCGACAGACAGAAAGCCCGACAGACACACACACACACACACACACACACACACACACACACAGACACAGACAGACAGACAGACAGACACACACACACACACACACACACGCACAGCACGTCTGCCTTACGTTGATGTTTCTTGGTCCCCAATCTTGGACAACAACACGCGCGAATGATGATCTGAAGGGCCACGAATACAAAACACACAAACACACACACATGTGCACACGTGTGGTTGGAGTGAGTTGACACGAAGCCACCGTGTTCCAAAACCTCAACCAAGGTCACACGGCACGTGCGTTATCACACTGGCACTGCGACGCACTTGGAAGGATGTCGAGGTATCTGTTCTTGTCGTCGCACATCTTGACACCCTGTGTTGGCGGGATGGAATTGGTCTGGAAACAGGCGAGACACGCGATGGTCACAGGTCATGGATACGATGAAGGAGACGTGACTCGAGGCGAGGGGTGGGAGGGGTGGGGGATAATGGAGTTGCTACCAGAGACGCACACACACAAGCACACACACAAGCACACACACAAGCACACACAAGCACACACAAGCACACACGCACACACACAAGCACACACAAGCACACCCATCCCCCCACACACACCGGCACGCTGTTGTAGTCTGCATTCATCTGTGTGTCGTCCTGCGCGTATGCGTGAATGGTCGCCGCGTCCATCCATCTGCTCTGGAACAGACCAGACTTGAACGTGTAGTTTGGTCGCGGCGGTGGTGGCGGTGGTGGGCCTTCGTCACCATCACCACCAACACCATCAACATCAACATCACCACCAACACCAACACCACCACGTGAGCTCCCACCGCCACTTGCAATGCTGCTGCCATTAGCTGTTGTGTATGCCATCATGGTGCTGCTGGCGTGCGATGCGCTGCGTGTGTGTCCGCCAATGGGGACGATGGACGGGAGTGGGAGCTGCAGCGAGTTGTCTGTTGATGCCTCAGGCGGACGGTGCACGCTGCCAGGCAGCGGTGTCTCCGTCACCAGGCCCTGAACGCGGCCATGGCGACAGGGATTGGAATGGAGGTGGAGGTGGAGGCGGGAATGGACACGGACACGGGTTGAATGAGCAGTCGAAACGGTGCGCGCGCGTGTGTGTGTGTGCATGTGTGACTATGTGTGCGTGTGGGTTGTTCATGCGCGTTCGCTCACACGGCAGAACGACAAGCCCTTCCTTGCAACCACGATAATGACCACCAGCGCCGTCACCACCACCACCATCGCCACCATCAAGACCACCTCTGAAGCGAGGAGGCGTTCCGTGTCGGCCATCCTGCTGCGATTTGTGCGCGTCGTGAGCGAGCGCGCAAACGGTTTCGCCTTCATGCTCTTGCGACGTTTCTGGACGGAGGAGGAGGGTTGCCGGGACGGGGAGGATGAGAGGTGAGGCCAAATGAGGGTGGAGGGGATGGGGATGTGCAATTCAGAGACATGCAAGAACACATGCAAAACATAATCCACAATGAACCACACACGCGCACAGACACAAACACAGTCACAGACACAGGCACAGGCACAGACAGACAGACACACACCCAGACCACCGCCATGCGTGCTCACCCTGGCCTGGTAGCGGATGGCGTGCTGGCGCTGGTTGTGCTGCGCGACAATGGCAACGCGGTGATTGGCGGCGGCAAGGAACAGAAACGCAGCGATGACCAGGAAGATAAATGCAATCGACACGCCCAGCACAAGCGTGTTCTCGTCAACAGCTGGCGTACGTGTTGTGTGTGTGTGTGTGTGTGTGTGTGAAATGAGAAGGTGAAGGGATTGATCAGGAAAGCGAGTGTGAACACGGAAAGCGACGGCCAAACGAGTTGAGCGCAACGAGCAAGAGCAATAACGACGCCACACCTCGCAGCAGCACGCACCACAGCAACTGCAACACATCCCAAAACTTCACACAACGGCAGCAGCAGCCGTGGTTCAACCACGCCATCAAACACGTCGCCAACACATCTTGTTCCAATACTCACACGACGCAGAGCTGCCGGCGGACACAGTCGTGGTGTTGGTTGCCGTGGTGCTGGTGGTTGTTGTTGTCGTCGTCGCTGTTGTGGTGGTTGTGGTGTGCGCGCAGTTGTCTGGGTTCGCGTCGGCCACAGTCGGCCCCTCCAGCGCGCCGGAATACGTCGTGCCTGATCATGAGAGGTGGTGGTCAGGGGGTGGTTAGGTGATGTGGATCGAGTGTGTGAGTGTGTGTGTGTGTGAGTGTGAGTGTGTGAGTGTGAGTGTGTGAGTGTGTGTGTGTGAGTGTGTGTGTGTGTGTGCGTGTGTGTGACTATATACACGCCTGCATGTGTCCACGCAAGTGTACGTTTCACCAATTCACCTGCAGGGCACTGTCCGCGCCAGACGTGTGAACACACACGCGCGCGCCGAGGGCGAACGGGCGCATATGGGCAGTCGATGTAGCCCTGGATATGAGAACAACGTGGTGGCGGCGTTGGGTATATGATGCTGTTGCTTGTAAGAGAGCAGTTCATGAGCGCCTAGGCAGACACACACACACATACAGACGCACACAGGTACACAGACACATACACACACACACACACACACACACACACACACACACACACACACACACACACACACACACACACACACACACACGGGCACACAACCATTGACAGACAAGCACTGCACCTGCTTGCAGAGGACAATGTCGACGGATGCGAGCATGGTGCCGTAATAATCGCGCATCAAATTCATAAATTGTTTCGTCGTTCCGTTGTAGCTGTTGGATTGTGGAGGGCGGGGGAATGGCAAGTTGAGTGTCTGCTGTCACATCATCGCATGCTCGAAGTAAACCATTCACAGCAGAACATGTTGCAGGCGTGGCCACTGGTCCGCGTTGTCCCTTTTAAGGTGCAGTGTGTGTGTGTGTGTCTGTGTGCGTGTGCGTGCACACTGCGTCAACACATCGCCACGTACATGCCGGCGTTGATGTCGTGCGCGTGTGTTTCGTTGCAATTGACGACATCACCGCTCACAGAGCAGTGTCTGAGCGCCTGGTGATGGTGGTGGTGATGGCGTGTAATGATTGCAAGGAGGGTGAGGATGTGCACATGACACACAGCCATGAAAACCACCCATCCACCGACCCGCCCCATACACAAACACAAACACGCAACCACCAGTCTCCCTTCTCTCCATCACCAAAGCATGCATGCGTGCATGCGTGTGTGTGCGTGTGTACCCAGTTGAGCCACGGGTCTGCTGCGATGTAGAGCACGGGATATGCGGTGATGTAACCAGGGGCGGACACGGACATGTGCACACGCTGGAAGTCGCCGTCGGCAGCGGGCGTGATGGTCTCAATCACAAACGAGGCCGGTGGCGGTGGTGGTAGCGACGACGACGACGTTGTAGACGAGGTTGATGTTGTTGTGGTGGTTGATGTCATGTTTGCTGCCGTTGTTGCATTGGTCACACCACCTGTCGTCATCATTGCTGTCGAGCCAGCGGTTGTTGAGAATGGCGATGATGATGGCTGCTGCGTTGGTGGGTCACCAGCAATGGTGGTGATGAGCGGCGTTCGGCAGTTGTCCCCGCACGGCGCGGTCCCGTACACACTCCGCTGCTGGAACTGACGGCGGTGAGGAAGACAATGACGGGGTGTGTTGGAGCATGTCACGTGCGTTGTCGTCGTTGTTGTTGTTGTTGTTGTTGTTGTTGTTGTTGTTGTTGTTGTTGTTGTTGTTGTTGTTGTTGTTGTTGTTGTTGTTGTTGTTGTTGTGTGTGTGAGGGCAGCACAGAAGAACGGGCAGTACCAAATTGACATACGCCGACACAGACACACAGACAGGCAGACACACAGACAGGCAGACACACACACACAGACAGACAGACAGACACACACACACACAGACACACACACACACACACACACAACAACATACACACACACACACACACACACACACACAACAACAC